TGTTAAACCATTCAAGTCCGATCTGTTTATTATATTGATAATCCATACGAAACAGTATAAGCCGATCAGATATTGGATCAGGTCACAGGTTTTCAGGTACCATTGGGCAAACTGTTTGAAGCATTCGCCACCCAAAAAGAGTTGGGTTGGGTTGAAGTGCGATTTAGAGTTAGGGTTGAAAGTATAAATCCGACTTAATTTTGGATTGAAGCCTTGAGCGATAGACTTGTTCATTAGTTGCACTCAAATCTAAATATTGACAAATTCCATATGATTCATTTGTAGCCTAGCTAAAATATGACGATTCTCAATCTTTCCAAACTCCAATGCCATGGTTGTCCATAAGATGTCATGGATGAATTTGATATATTTTGATTTAATACAAGGTTGATAATTTATCTTAAGAACAATTATCCCTTCCACTAAGATATGTTTGGATTGGGGTTATGAGTTTGAGGGATGAGCTACCCCCGTTTGTGTAGCCCTATGGAGCAAAAAACTTATATATGTTTGGTTTGATAGAAAATAAGGGAAAAAAAAAGTTGGGGCAATTCCTTTCACTACCAAGGCAACCTTCTATTTTTTCCTTAATTTCTATCAAATCAAATACAACTTGAATATCAACATAGAAGAAAAAAATATGAAAAAAAAACTAAAATTATATTAGATTCAATGTCATCTTATTATAAAAGTGCCACCAATGTAAATAATTTAAGATGATTAATAATAAATCCATAGTCATATAATATAATGCTATTTAATAATTATTAATTTCATGATAGTGCATAGAGAATCATTGACGACATAGTAAGAAGTGATTTGTTGCAAATTGAAGGAGGTTAAAAGGATAGAAATAGACCAAAACATACATGGATGTAAGCTGTAATGATTTAAATGACAATAGTTTAACAATTTACATGCCACTATGGAATGATGAAATAGGATTTTGGATGTTGATGACAAATGAATTATTAATTTCATGATGTTTAATTAATTGTTATATATACACACAAGCATTAATTAACAAAGTAATCATAATTAATTGTTTGTTATCATTTAAATAATTTAGACTTGTTTTTTATTAATGGATGATTAATAATAATTATGGTTATGATGCCAATAGGTTTTCATCAAATTCACAGGGGGTGCGATTGGTCAAAGCCTTCTTGATATAATGTCTTTCTGGCATCATGTATTTACCCTAATAAATAATTAAAACATTGTATACTAAATAACTAATATGTAATATATAAATAATTAGTAAATGTTTGTAACTAATTAAGTAAAAATTATAGTAATAATTTTTTATAACATTAATTATTGAAGTACTAGTTATTTGTTATCGTTAATTATGGGTAATAAACATTAAATTGTTGTTTTTACACCAAATTAAATTGTTAAAACAGGCATTCCCATTCTTGTGTGTAAAATTCCAAACTATCTAATTTCAAACATCATATATTAGAGCAACATTATTTGTGGTCCCATGTGTGTGTGTGACAAGTCCGGATCTTCTGTCCACGAGAATTTTGCCCATGTTTATCGCAATCACATATAGAAAACATCTCATCCCCTGCATAATATTTTATAGAGGGAGATATTCCCAATTCACAGGATGTAGTGTATTATGAATAGACGTAACCAAAGTTCTCGTGGACAGAAGATCCGACTCATACACTACACATTTAATGCTATCCAACATGACCTTACTCAAAGTCGTGCAAATTGCATCCTCGCCTTAAACCATTTGTGTACAAGAAATTGGCAACCGTTTTGCCAATTTGTTGACTATCAAATAGCAATAGTTGACATTGGTGTTAATTCTTCCCTCAAATACTATGTATTTTTTATTTATTATCATTTGAGTTATCCTTGGTGCTCGGAGAGTTTCAAGGATCCAAATAACCAAACTTTTAAATTGGCTTTAGAGTTAGGTTATGAAAGATCTCTCTCATACCTAGATTTCCCTTGGGATATATATCCTAAATATTAAAAGCACAATTGTTATAATAAATGTTAAGTTGTTTTGGTAAATTTACAACCCTACCACGATTTCAACACCAACAACACTAATACATAACAGGATGGAATCAACACCAACAACACTAATAGGAGAGTAAGAAGTCCTCTCACCATGGAGCTCACATGTATTTCATCTTCCTATCCTTTCTTACATATGTATATATTTATTTTTAAATTAAATCATTTAAAATATAATAAGTCAAAATTAAATCCCTAAAGGGTCTTCATTATATAACATAAAATCAATATTTACTCCATGATAAGACCATTCTTAAATCCCAATTTTAATAAAAGTCAATTAAGTAAAAATATATAGCCTTGTATTTAAATATAGTCACATGTCAAGGGAGAGTTGTATTAGGGATGGGTACATAAAATAAATAGATTGTACGTGAATGTTATGGATTTACTTGAATATTTCAGCCAATATATGGTTCTTCTAAAATATGCAATTTTAATTTATTGAAATACGTACAAACATTGAAATATAATGCAATGAAACCCGTCCACAACCAATTCACATACATTTTTTCAATTGAGAATCACATGAAACACTTTGACGCATTGAAATGCACAAGTCACTCATTATATTATCAGGATTGATCTTAATGGGATCAAAAGGCGAGGCATCAAATGGATAATATTCCTGGCTTTGATTTGCTTAGGTGGTGTTTGGTTTGTGGTTTAAAAATGGGTGGTTGTGTTTCATTATCATACCACCTCTTTCTGAAAAATAAAAATATTGGGTTCTGATGGTGCTTAGATAGCCCACATTCCTATTGAATGATAGCTTGGACGGAGGGATGCTAAGGTCGACAGACCGGTCTGTAAGATATACAAAGTCAGAGTACTCGGGGCTTGGACCCGAGTTGGGCACTCCGACGCTTAAGTTAGTTGAGCTGATTGCAATGAGGTAGGGAGTTAGAGAGCAAGAAAGTAATATATTTTGCACTTAATTGCATGAATTTTGTGAAGGAATGGAAGAGTCTTTATATAGGCTTTGGGGTCCAAGAGCCATGTTCGAGATATTCGGGAGTGATAGGCCTTGTCAGCCCACTGTCTTCGGGGCGTGTTGCATCGACGTTGGCGACGATCCTCATCTAGTCTCTCCGAAGCGTGCAGGGATCAGGGTCACCCCTGCCAAGTGGGTGACGTGTCAATCGCTGGTTTTCGGATCCAATAGGTATGCTAACCAGATTATGACAACTTGCTACGTAGGTTGGTACCCCATAGGCCGATTGGCTACTCGAGTCGCTGGCTGCCCAAATCGGGGAGGTCAAACCAACATCCAAAGCCATCGGCTTGTGTCTCATGAGGTGATGTGCTTCACTCATCGGCTTAGTGCCCAGAGATCGGCTGGCTATTCGCTGCCCAGGTTGAGGAGGTCAAGCCAACATCCAAAGTCATGATGTTCTTCCTTAGGTTGAGATGCAAGTCGGGTTAGTTGAGATGTCGGTAAATGGTTTGGATTAACAACTCGCCCTGTCATAATTGGTTGGTTAAATCTCTTCTCATCAGGTTTGAATCATCGCAAGCATACTGTTATTTATTGTTGTGATTTGTTTCGAATCACATTGAACCACAATCATTGTTATGTTCAAGGTTTATTTACACACATATAAGCAATTCATCTATCACCATTCCATTTCGATTGGCCAGTAGAGAAACAAAAAGAAAACACAAGACAATTACATTATTGTAAATCTCACCAAAAGCCATCTTCCAATACACTCACCGTTTTAGCTCTCATATTTTTCAAACACCTTTTTCTTGGCCCCTAATATACGAGATACAATGTTACTTTTAAGGTGGGATGAAAGGTTATTTATACGAGAAAAGCCTATAGGTTTCATAGCTGAGATTGGTTCTGCTCTTTACAGATCGCATCTCACACCAATCTCACAGGTACATTCCATTGCCTACAGGGAACATCTCCTATATTTATGTGTTATTATTCATGGAAGATGTTTCCAATACAAGAATGATGTGTCCATAATATCAGTGTGAGATGCACTGTATGAGGAACAAATCCCAATTCCACATAGCTACGGGATATCACAAATCCCGCAAAATCTCACTACGAGTATAAAGTATAGACTCGAGAATCCAGGCTATCATACTAGGCTTTTGTTATTTGCAATTTCAGGCTACTTGAACTTGCAAGTTGCTATGCCATTCCAATGCAATCTGAGACACCACCCTACCATGTGTCCAAGTGACTTATCCATTTCATATGCAATTTTATATAATCGCGGCATCCACCTGATCTGCGACGCTAAATCCAATTGCAACTGATTAAACTGTAATTCCCTTGACGCTATGAGTCCATATTGTGAGAGCTCCACCACACCCCTTGGGTGGCCATTGCCATTGATTGGCTATGTGTTGCTTCCACCACAAACCAATTTCGTCTACGGGCTTTTCTCAACTTTACCTGGGTCTAAATCATGGAGCAGATAAAAAAAACTGGAGTTCAATGCATAAACACAATCATTGTATAGCTATTTATTTGGCGCATAATAATAATAATAATAATAATAATAATAATAATAATAATAATAATAATATTAATACACTGAAAAATACAATATAATATGCTAAAATATAATTATATATTTTGTTACATATATCAAATATAAATTTTATTTTATAGATAAAATAATATGGCCCGACCTTAGAGGCACATTTCACCATGCTCCTGTATTATTAGAGTTCACATCTACGCCCTACAGTACATCTCGACCTTGTATTGAGAACATCTCCGGGTACCGTCGACACATGCACGAGCATGTATGTCATGCTCATGCATCCGTTCTTCGACCAGTAGCCGATATAACCGGGTTTAAGCAAACGATTGGTTCATATCAAACCGTAGAGGCAATGAGACCAGTAAACCCGACTCTCATCGATCTAACCGGGTTAGAACACGAAAACAAAACCACCGCAGGTCCTCCACTCGAAATGCAAGTGCAGGAAAATCTAAAATCTATCCGTGAGACCGTGACTCCCTTCCCCCACCCCTCTGGCCCTCTCCCTTCCCTCGCCTCCGAAGTTCTGTAACGTCCACTTAAGAGGGAATGCACTAACTCGCGAATTCATCCAATTTCTTCTAACTGCATTCCTGGAGGACACTTCGATTTTTCAGGTTAGAGTCACTGGGCTGTTCTTATATATTGAGTTCGCTGCATATGCAGTTGGGCATCTACGAACTTTTTTTTTTTTCTCGTTGGAAAATCAGAGCTAATTTAATTATATCATTCTGAAACTAGAGTTTATTTTCCTACTTTGTTTGGTCTAATTCGGAAGATGTGCTGTAATAAAAGTTTATTACCGTGGAAGTTCACATAGTTTTGCAGTTGAATTTCGGGAAGGTCTAGTTTTCCAAGCACTTGGTGGAAACAAGAAACCTGTCAGTTGTAGTTTGTACATTTGGTTTTACGGGTTTATCCCTGAATTTCTCCTCTTCCTGTATTCAAATTTGATTTAATCAGGTGAAATCATTACGTGGAACAAAGATTTTCGAGTAAACCAAACATTAAATCTAGAAGCCTTTATGGTTTCGTGTATGGATTTCTTGAAATCTCAGCAAATATATATAACTTCATTCTTTTTGTTTTAATTTGTTACATGTAGTGATGGGTAGAAAGAAGCAAGCACGTCCCCGACGGTCAGGAGGAATGTTAGAGGACCTTCATAGCAATGGAAGAAATTTAGAAAATTCCACTGGTTTTGAAGATGCAAAAACTGAAGAAAAGTTTAGTGATTCTAGTGAACCATTTCTCGTAGAAATTGATTGGAGTTCCTATAACTTGGATGAGCACCATGACATTGCGGAAATCATTCTCACAGATTTGAAGTTCAGTGAAGGGTATTGTGGCTACAGATTCGCAGAGGATTTACGCAAGGGTTCTAAGTTTTCACTTCGTTTTCTGCTGCAGAATGTAGAAGAGTTCAGTAGTCGTCTTAGGTTAGGTCACTGGCCTGTGATATCTGCCGATTGTATCTCTTTGGAGTTCTTAGAAACACGTAGGTTGGAGGATAAGGAAACAAAATCTGTAATATTAACGGGGAGTTTTGATGGGCCAGATGAGGGAGTGTCAGGTCTTGTACACTTGGTTAGTCAGAAAATTTTGATGCTGAGGTTGGTTAATGATCCTGAAGTTGAGGAAGTTTCATCTCTCAGTGTGAGAGTGGAGATATTTAATAATGCTTTTGTTACATGCGACACACTTCTGGAGAACACTAGGCAGCTTTGGAAAAGGAGTATGATGAATGTTATGGCTTGGTTGCGGCCAGAGGTTATAACACCAGAAGCTATATATGGTAGTAGTAAAATGAACCTTGTGGAATTTAGTACACATAAAGTGACAGGTTCTGGCAGCTTTGTCTCTAAGAAACGTGCTAGGTTTGATGCTGCTCAGTTCTATGAAGCCATTAAACCATCCAAGTGAGTAATATTGTTTCTTAATGTTGTTTCATCTTCTTGTATATTTTGTTCATGTAGAACATTAAAACCCTGGATGAAATGTAATGCCTCTGACTTTTGATTTTTATTCTCTATATTATTTATGGCTTATTAGCCAACGCCATATGGTTGGGACAAGGCTTACATGATGATGATTATTTATTGCTTACAGACTGGAGCCAATGTTGGAAGATGAACTTCATGATTTGCTTCCTGAATTGAGACCATACCAACGCCGTGCAGTTTATTGGATGGTTCAACGAGAGAAGGGGGCTTCTGGAAATTGGATCCAAAGTGATCAAAATTATTTCTGTAGCCCCCTCTGTGTACCTGTGGGTTTCCTTGATACACGTTTGAAAATGTTTTACAATCCATTTAGGTATGATTTTCACCAGTGGTTTCAATTATACCTGGTTGGAGATATATCTTCACATACTTTTTCATGGTAATTATGTATAACAACCTATATGGGCTACACAACCGGGGGGAGCCCTCCACACCCCCCCAAGCCAGGTGAAGGGGCTTGATACTTTGATCCCAAGTCTCTGCTACATCTAGCCAGAGACCTTACCAGCAAGCTAGCTAGCATCTTATATCATACACACCATAATCATATGTTACACATGCATAAATGCATAATTTTGACACATCCAGTTTACTTCTCTTGTCTTTTATAATTAATGGAATTTTCTGAAAGTTAAAGAAGAGAGGATCACTTAAAATAAATTCTCTCCCCAGAACTTCGAATGAAAACAATGAATAAGATTTCTACAAGCTTCTTATTGGCTCAAGCCAAATTTATGCTTATTTCTTGTAGACTGTACTTTTATCCTTGTGGTCCATAGATTTTGTCATATATCAAGCTCCCATTGTAAAGAGAAAGCATAAGAAATCCTCTTTGGTAGATGCATCTCTTACATCCCTATATACGTTTGAAATAATTTTTTTTGATCAATAACACACCAATTTTATTAAGGAGATAGAAACTTTTCTTGTATCAAATGGTACAGAGAAGACAGTACAATAATAAAAGCAACTGCTGGCTGAAACAAAACAGCTCAGAAATATTACAAAGTTACATCAATCCCTGGACCTGGTGACCCCTACACAAGACTATCATTGTTTTTTTATTTTTGATAAATAAAACTATCATTGTTAACTCACCGTCCTTGCAAGCCCAACAGCTAATCCATTAGCTGCTCTAGGTATCCATTGGAATTAGCAGTTCAGGTTAGATGTTAGACTTTTAGCTTCTCTTATCTTCTGTCCTAATATCCAAGGGCCTTCTATTTCATTCTCCAACCAGCTGATTACTACTTTGCAGTCCTCTTCCACCATCAAGTTGGGAGCACTAAGAGAGCAGGCTAGTTTTAGTCCTTGAATGAGAGCATGTATCTCTGCTCGTAGAGAGTTTGCAACACCTAGAGGGCCTGAGAAACTGATTTTGATAATGCCTTGATGGTCTCTAACGACACCCCCTTATGCCTGATGGCCCAGGGTAACCAAGCCTACAGCCACAAAAATCAGATTAAGAGTCCTCCTTTCAGATACAGTCCATGAGCCTGTTGCCTTTAAATTCTTTACTGCTCAATACTCAATACACTGTCTTAACCATGATTGTCTCTAAGAACATATTTTTTTCTACTAAATCCTTACTTTTGAAGATTCTTGCATTTCTTTCCCCCCAAATATTGAGAGTTGTTTCTCTGAAATATTAGAAGGACATGGCCAACTCAGTTTGTAAAGAAGGAAGATTTGAGATGATATCTTACATTAGTAGGAGCAAGGGAGAAATAGATGATCAATACTCTCCCCATTTGAAAGGAAAAGAATGCATACATGAGGGGATATGCACCAAGATTTACTTTTTCTTGGAGATTGTCACAATTATTTACTATCTTAAGAATCACTCCCCAAATAAAGTCTTTAACTTTTGGTGGTGAAGGTCCATCCCAAACCTCATAACATGGAAAAGGTATAGGTGACAAAAGGGGCTTTGTTTAAAGCTTTAAAAAGGATTTGCAAGAGCATTTACCCAAAGGATCCACTAACCATACTCTTTTGTCTTGATCCTCTCTAAGGAGGAACACCTCATTGAGGATGTCAAACAATTGAATTACTTCCCCATTCTCCAAATTTCCAAGACAACCCCTAAAGCCCCAAGTTCTAAGACAATCCATAAAGTAAAGGGAGAGACAATTTCCCCAACAACTTTATTCTTGTGGGTGGACAACGGATATAGTATAGGATATTGTAGTGCTAATGTTAATCTTCCCACCACGTATCTTCCTAAAACCTCACTTTGTTCCCTGCAACAAGGTCCATCTTCACAAAATCAAGAAGACAACCCATAAAGTAAAGGGAGAGAAAATTTCCCCAACAACTCTATTCATGTGAGTGGATAGGGCACATAATGTCTAGGAGATTGTAGTGCTTATGGTTTATCTTCCCCCCAAATATCTTCCCAAAACCTCATTTTGTTCCTTGAAACAAAGTCCATCTTCACGAACTCAAGAAAACCACTGGAGATTGATTTTTAAGTGGCTCTTCTTGTGTGTCTGGAATCCCAACTATTAAGATGATGATCATATTTACCTTTTATTAAGGAATGCTAAAGATATTGATTTTCAACCAGTAATCTTCAAAGCCATTTCCCTGAAAGTGCTGAATTTCTATCTTTAAGCTTTTATATCTCAAGTCATCCATCCCTTCTCAGTTCTCTCTTACAAATATCATGTCAATTCAACAACAAGCAACTCTTTTTTGCTGCACCAGGTTCCCAAAGGAAGTTCCTAATGATTCTTTGTAAGCATCAAATGATCTTATTTGGGGTTCTAAAAATAGACATTTAGTAGACAGGGAAGTTAGAGAGTGTAGACTTAATGAGGGTGATTCTGCCACCAAGGGAGATGTAGCTTTTTTTACACGTGGGTAATTTCTTAGAAAACCTCTCAACCACTCCATCTTGAAAAGAAGAGGCTTTAGGCTGTCAAGGGTAATACTTTATGGATCACATCATCATCCCACAACGTAAAATGTCTGGACACTTCTCCAAAACCTTATGGTTCATATTTATCTCTGCCACAACAGATTTTGCAAGGTTGTGTCATTTGCAAAGTAGATGTGGGAGATATTCTCATTGTCACTACCGATCCTTAACTCTCTAATCACGGCCTTGCATGCTTTAACATTTAGCCTACACAATACCTCCACATCCTAGAGGAAGAACAAGAGAGGGAGATAGTGGGTTCCCTTGCCTTATGCTGCGGGAGGCTTTAAAAAACCTTTTGGAGACCTGTTAACCGGTATAGATAAATAATGAGGACAGATAAACCATCATTCATTTGATCCACCACCTACCAAATCCCATTTTATTCACCACCGACCTAAATAAGCCCTAGTCCACATGGTTTCTAAGTCGAATTTTCATACGAAGAATTTCTTCCCCAATCACTTAGCTTCCTCTATCGCCTCATTAGCAACCAAAGTTTGATTAATAATTTGTCTTCCCATTATGAAGGCCTTGGGGCTTGGATATCACAGAACCAATAGCTGCCCTCAATTGCCTAGAAAGAACTTTAGCTATAATTTTTATAAGCTAGATATGAAGCTGACTGATCTGAAACCACTTATGATATGTATGAAATAATTGCATGTCTTGGGTCCTCTTCTTTTGAATCAGATCACTAGTGTTGATTCTTTCTAGAAACGTTTTGCAACAAAAACTACCCCCTTTGCGTGAAATAATTGGTGTCATGCCAGTTTGCAAAGACTATTTGGGAATGGGCTTCTTCTCTATTGGGTGTAGTTGGATCCCCCCTTTGAATCTGCAGAGCCTTTTTTTTTTCTTCTTTTTTCAGGTGGCATCTGAAAAGGGGTAGGACTATGTGGAGATGCCTAAGGGCTGTGGTATGCTGGTCTCTATGGGAAGAAAGAAACTCTAGGATTTTCTCTGAAATAGAGAGAAGTGCTGAAAACCTGAGAGATATGATTCATATAAGGGCGGTGCAGTGGCTGAAATCATCAGAGCTGTTCACAGATTATACAGAGGATGATCTGTTAAGGAAATGGGGAGAGATTGCTAGATGCACCCAGGTTAAAACAGGACTGAGTTTGTCTTGGACCCCTCCCCCCTTTGGCTTTATGAAACTGAACTTTGGTGGTAGTAGTAGAGGGAACCCTGGGCATTCAGGGGCTGGGAGTGTGTTTAGGGATGAGAATGGAAATGTCTCAGCCCTGTTCTCAGGTCCAATTTTGGTGGGTGATTCTCTCAGAGCCGAGATCTATGCAGTTATGGAAGGTGCCCAAAGAGCAAAGGAAATGAATATAAGAAGGCTTGTAATTGAAGGGGATTCGGAGGTGGTTGTAGGGTGGCTGAGTGAAGACAATACTGGGTTTATGGAATTACAACAATGAAAGGAGAAAGTTTAGGTGGCTAGTTAAAGACATGAAAATTAAGTTCAGCTGGGTGAAGAGATCTGCTAACTCGTTTGCTGATGGGTTAGCTAAGCAAGGGGTGGTGAGGGAATCTATGTTCTGGGCTCAGTTGTAACTCTAATTCCTATTCATGGGGGCTCAAGCCTCAGTTGGGGGAGATAAGAAAGTTTATCTCCTTTTTTTTTTTTTGACATCTGATAAAATTGGAACGATACAGAGAAGATTAGCATGGCCCCTGCGCAAGTTTATCTCCTTCTTTGTAATTAATATTTCTGATTGATTAATGAAATGTGTTATTGATAAAAAAAATGTGTGAAATAATTAACATGATCTTATGTGGAAAATAAGGACATGTTGATATACTTGGAAGGTAGAGGTATGTTATCCCGGTTCTCGAGTTATAGATAAAGTTAGAAGAAGTTCCAGCTTTGTTCTGATAATATTATTCAGATAATTTTTTCTCCAAAACCATTGGAGGAAAAATAATCCTCTTTTGCATTTTTTGCTATCAAATTAATATTTGTTTTGTTCACGCATTGCATTTATTAACATATTTTTTGAGGGTAACAATCATAATCTCTTAGTTCTCCAACCGTAGTTGACCTTAATCCATTTTCTCACATTGGTTCCATTTCATTTCCAGTGGAGCTGTTTCATTGCATCCGGAGCCTTTCTCATATGTCCCTGGTGGGATTCTTGCTGGTGAGTCCTGCTGCCATAATCTGTTAGACTGTCAAAACTATATTTAGTATTTTGAAATCTTGTGTAAGATACTATGAGACATGATTTCTCACCAACCACAGATGAGATGGGACTGGGAAAAAGTGTTGAATTGCTTGCTTGCATCCTTGCTCATCGAAAATTTCCATCTGAGGATGAAGTTCCTTTTCACAATGAAAAACAAGTTACTGGTGGTTGGAGAAATAGCCTCAAAAGATTGAAAAGAGAACGTGTTGAGTGCATATGCAGAGCTGTAAGTGAAAGCTCTAAATATAAAGGATTATGGGTACAATGTGATATTTGTGATGCTTGGCAGCATGCAGATTGTGTTGGTTATGTACCTGTAGGAACGAATTTAAAATATGACAGTTCACATGTAGAAGGCCACTGTAAGAATGGATCTGTAAAGTTACAAAAGCAGTTGAAAAAGAAAGGTGATACTAAAATAGTTGAAATGGATGGGAGTCATATTTGTCAGCCATGTTCAGAATTGATCCAAGCTACTGAATGTCCTGTTGCTACTGGTGCTACTCTTATAGTATGTCCAACACCTATATTGCCCCAATGGCGTGCAGAAATCATTCGGTATGCCCCTTACTTTTTGTTCTTGAAGTGGTTATATCTCTCAGAAATACAATATGATTATGATGCTGTATCTTCTTTTGGTTATCTTTCTCTTTAGTATTCTTGAAATCCATAAAGATGAGAAAAGTAAAGCATTCTTTATGCCAAATTTAGCAGTAAAATCATCTAATTTGTTCCTTCTGTTTGGCACGGTCAACATGGTTCTCCAAGCAAGTTCTCCCAAGGTACACTAGAATCCATGGTTAGGCACTTGAAGAGTCACCTTGAAAGAGGAAGTGTCCATTTGGGTTGGAAGGGGGCAGTCCACAAGATAAGGTTTATAATAGAAAAAAGAGGATTTTGGGGATTTCACCTAGAGAAGTTGGTCTGAAGGAGGTAGGGGGTGCAAGAAGGGGATGAGATTTTGGAGGCAGGGGGGGAGGGGGAGAGGAGGCAGAGGTGAATGGGGTTGGTGGGCAAGAAGTTAATGAAGGATCTCTAAAAGGGGAAGTGGAGATCGGTAAGTTAGTGGAAAGGGAGGTGTGGGTGGGTAGATCACTTGGCCTGTCTTTTGGGGTGGGGAAGGTTTTGCGAAAATTGCCTTTGAACAATTCAAAAGAAATAAAAGAGAGGAGAAAATTAGAAAAAGAACTGAGAAGATAAGAACTGGAACAAAAAAGGGGGAGAAGAGGAGTTCTTAGGAGAGGAAGAGTGAAGATCTGAAGACTCAAGAATATTGGGGGCATGAGGTCAGAATGCAATTTGCAAGCTGAGCTGTGCGGGTCTGAGGGAGGAAGAAGAAGGGCAATGGTAAGATTTCTGACTTGAGGATACAATTAGAGGTAGTTTCACTGCAGGATTAATTCTGGAAAGCCTCGATGCGAGTCTGAAGGGTGATCGAAGGGGGATGGACATCGGAGAGCTAATCTTGAAGGGTCACTAGTTTTCAGGGCAGTAATGTTAGAGTTCTTCTCTGCTGTTTAGCATTTCTGGTGTGTCATCTTGGACACCCATTGAGGTTGTAATACTTCTTATTTATTCTTCAAAAAAAAAAAGACCACCAGATGGATCTTTGAGAAATTTTTAGCTTTTTATTGTTTAAAATACTGAAATTGGTGGTTTTTCCCCATTAAGTATGGCAATTGACCTTTCTGAGTTTTTACTTAATACTTCTAAGTAAACCTCTTTGAAAGCTTATCAATTTGATTTTTCAATACAACCCTGTGTATGCTATTGATGACAGGTCACAGGTTGATGTAGAACTAGGGATGATTATGGGCTTGGGCTTTATCCCTAGACCTGTTCACGGGCTGCGCTTGAGCTTAGCTTTTTCCAAAATTTGAATGGGCCCGAAGCAGTGTAAAATGTTCATAGACTGAGCCCGAAGCCTGCCTGTGAATAGGTCTACCTACCTCCTAGTATATGGGTCTTCATGCAAAGCCCAGGCCTAGTCTACATGGGCTTGGTTTTGGGCTTTCCAAGTATGTATGTATGCATGTATGTATGTATGTATCTATATATATATCCACATGTATATGTATACATATACATATATATACACAGGTGTATACATACAAGTAATGAAAATTTTATTTATAGAATCAAGAAGTGCAAACGATACAAGCATCTCTTAGAGAGGTGTGTGAGGTGCAGCCTCTCCCATCATAATAAGCCAAGAAATTACAAATTACACCTGAGCCCAATACTATTGCTCCCTATTCACCTCTTGCTTAGCTAATGTATCAGCCATCCCATTAGCCAACCTCCCCACCATTATCTCCTCAAATTCATGTAACTTGGTAGTCATTTGAACTTTCTTAGTGTAATCCTTGTAGGTCCAAATTATTGACTCCGGTTCCTTCAGCTACCCCACCACTAGCTTTGAATCTCCTTCAATCATCAAGTTCTCCAAATTTAGCTCTTTTGCAATATCTATTCTTTGTATTACAACAAGAAATTCAGCCCTAATAGAGTCCCAAGCCTATATATATTGTGTATATAATAGAGCATAATGTAAATTATGTAATACGTATTATGTTACATAATATAATATTTTATCACTTGAATTCCAAAGAAGAGAGGCCAAAACTCCTAAAGATTATAGGCCAATGAGCCTTATTGGGAGTGTATACAAAATTCTTTCAAAGATTTATTTTTTTCATCAGTAATTCTTTTAAAGGTTCTCTCATAAAGGATCAATAAGGTGCTGCCCTCGATCATCTCTCCTTTCCAAGGTGCCTTTGTGGAAGGAAGGCAGATTGTGGATCAAAGTTTGGTAGCCAATGAGTGTGTGGCAGAAAAAAGAAAGGGTAGAGAAAAAGGGTTGGTGTGTAAAGTGAACCTAGAGAAAGCCTATGATCTGGTTAATTGGGAAGTTCTCCTATAAACACTAGAAAGGTTGGGTTTTGGAGCCAAATGGAGATCCTGGGTTAGAGGATGTTAAGTTCAGTCCATTACTCAATTCTTATTAATGGTGTAGCGAAGGATTTCTTTCCAACTGAGAGAGGAATTAGGCGACCCCTTATCCCCTTTTGTTTACCCTAGTGGCTGAAGTTTTAGGTAGAATGGTGGCAAAAGCTGATCTCCAAGGACTGATTAGAGGGTGGAGGTTAGGTAGGAATCAAGTGGTTGTTAACCACCCCCAATTTGCAGATGACACAATCTTTTTTTTGTGAAGGGGGCAATGATGAAGTAGTGGTAAACCTAAAGTTGCTGCTGGATAACTTTGTAGGGGTGATAGGTTTAAGGATAAATTGGACCAAAAGTGGTATTGTAGGGGTTAATCTGCAAGAAGGGGAACTCCTAAGATTTGCTGAGATTTTGGGGTGTGAGATTTGAAGTTGGCCATTTAGCTACTTGGGTCTTCCTCTAGGAGGAAACCCTAGATCAGATGGGTTCTGGAAGAGCCAATCATTGAAAGATTTGCTAGGAAGTTAGCTTTATGGAAGAGGAATTATATTTCTCTAGGTTGAAGGATAACCTTGATTAGAGCCACATTGGCAAACCTCCCTATTTATTTCCTATCAACCTTTAGAATACCTTGTAGGGTAGCAAGGAGATTAGAGAAATACATGAGAGACTTCCTCTGGGACCCAGGAGAGGAGAGGAGAGGAAGGTTCACTTGGTTAACTAGGAACAGGTTAGCAAGCCTGAGGACCAAGGGGGTTTGGGAATAGGGAACTTTTCACTTAGGAACTCAGCTCTTTTTGGAAAGTGGCTCTGGAGATTCCCTTTTGAGAGTGATAGACTGTGGCACAAAGTTATCTGACTGAAGCTTGGGATTCTTTGGATGGTTTGAAAGTTAATTGAGTTTGGATTCCTAGGGAACACAATCATACTGTAGATGGCCTAACTAAATTTGGTGTGTATTTGGAGCATTTGTATAGCGACAAGCTTCCTCCTTTGTAACTTGTAGGGGTTCCCCCCTGCTTTGTATATCTCCCCTTGACCCCCCCCCCCTTTTCTTAATAAATTCTGGTTAAATTTTCTCAAAAAAAAAGTTGTTGAGAGCATTCATGGGTTGAACAGAAATGGCTAGGATGCAAAAGTTGCCTTTCATGTTTCTTCAACTTCTCCTTGGAAAGCAATTCATGAAATCTGCCCTACCTTCCTTAATTCCATTCGGCTTGATGTGGGAAAGGGCAATAAAGTTCATTTCTGGGAGGATCTTTGGGTGGGAGAAACCCCACTCAAAGATCATTTTCCTTATCTCTACTTTGTCAAACCTACGTAATTTGGGAACACCTGGTCCAAATGTGGTTAACTGGACTCTAGGTTTCAGAAGGGGCCTCAGGGAAAATGAATGTGACTCTTTAGTTTAGTTGTTGGATCTACTAGGACAAGTTCACTTGGATCCATCCTTGAAAGATTCTAGAATCTGGATAGGCTCTTCAGATGGCCTCTTTTCTTGTTCTTCTTTTTTTAGTGTTCTTGCATTGCCTAGTATCTCAGTTGGGGAATTCCCTGTGAAAGAAATTTGGAGTAAGCCTATCCCCCCCAAAAATTCAAGCTTTCTGTTGGGGAATTTTCCTTGGCAAGGTAAATACTTGTGATATTTAATCCTCGGAAAGGATGGAAATATTTAATGATTTAGGAAAGAGGGAAGCTGATAATGAGAAACTAGAGGACATGAACTCTTTAGTTGTGAATATTCTGGGTGACTCGAGTAGGCTAAATGACTTAGGAAAGGTTAGCGGGTCGGATTTTAGGGGAAAGTGCTCTAAACCAGGTGGGATTAGAGGACCTTTAGCAACTCACTGGATAATCCCGATGAGTTATCTCTTAGGTTTGACAATCGATCATCTGAGTTCTTCCACCACAATGATGAGAGTTTGAATGGCTGCCCCAACCCAGTAATGATACAAAATTTGTCCTCTACAGGGGAAAATGAAGCAAAAGTTAGGGATGTTTTGGAAGGGGAAGTCGGAGTGAGTAGTAACGAAAGTAAAGCCAGGGAAGAGGGAGAGAATAGAAAAGGAGATGAGGAGATTGGGACGGAAGGAGCAAAAGAAAAAAGAGGTGTGGACGAAATGTGGGGGAATAGAGGAGGAGAGGAGGACAGAAGTGTTGAAGAGGAGGAAGGAGGGAAGAATGATCTAGGAACAGAGAAAGAAGGAAGTGAAGATGAAGAAGGTAAGATGGAGGGGAGGTAAGAACTTATCAAAGGAAAAAATACAGAACTTTCCCACTAGAGGAGAGTGGGGAATAAGAGCTAGAAGTGGATTCAAGGGAAGAAAATAAGTCTGAACCAGTGATGGATGGGACCCATATGGTAGAAAAGACTGCTAACATCGATGAAGTGGTGAATAGGGGAGTAGAAGTTAGCAGGATGTTGGATCTGTTTTTTCTAGGAGGGGAGGACTTTGCAGAAGAAGCATTTAGATCTGTGGAGGAAACCTCTGGGAAGAATGAAGGTTCGATAGATTCAGAGTTTTATCCTGATGGCGATAATTCGAAGAAGAAAGAAATGGAAGTGATTACCGGAGGTTGTGGGGATATCATAGAGAAGATTGAAGAAGAGG